TACGTACGACGAACGTAGTAAGTTAAGTTAATACGTATAGTAGTAGTAGGTAGGTACGTAAACGTAAGTACTATTACTTATTTACGTTCTTACTAGTAGTAGTAAGTAACGTTACTTACTATATATATATATATATATATATATATATATATATTAGGTATGGCATTTACACTCAAGTTCTCCATATGAATACAACTTGGGCTATAGTGTCTACACCCAAGGCCTTCCCATCATTTGTGTTCTTCAATTTAAATGAATGACGTGGCTTTAAAAGTTCACTTAGCATAGAGAAAAGCCCTTACCTCCCCCTTAAAATACCCACCATTTATGTTCTTCAATTTAAATGAATGATTTTTAAAACTTTGTCCGTCTGGGACTCTCTTTTAAAATATCTCGTCACAACCACAAAAATATAAAATAACAATGATGTAGCTCTATAATTTATATGTACATGGTCATAGCTAAAGGGTCTATTATAATTAGAACCTCATGGATGTTCTAGCTTTGGGAATTTAGTGGAAACCAAGATGGGAAGTGGGGTTGAATTTAGACATGGGTTTTGGAGAGTTCTTCTTATTCTTTTTTGCAGTAGAGAAGATGAGAGACAGAGGGCATCAATGGTCAAGAGAAGAGAGAGTCAATGAATATGAGGTTTCGAGGACTTTAGAGACTTCTTTGAAGAAAAGAGAGGATCGGTATCCGGAGATGGCTGATGAGAAGTTCAGGGAGAATTCAGAACTTGTTTTAATGGTGTCGCATGTTTTGGTCGTTGATGAGAGGGGAGGATGTGTTCCTGCTGAATGTTGGGAAAGAATCCACAATCACTCCCTAAACTTCTTAATTATCTGCAACTCTTCTTCTCTTTGTACTACCTTTCAACAAGTTTCATGATTAGGGTCTTGTTGATTAGGGCTTGATCCCGTTGTGATTGGAGATCTGCTAAATGGATTGACGGAATTCACTTTCAATTCTTTAAGTGTGTTTTCTCTCTTTGTGTGTGTCTGTATGTGTGAGCATGAGGGTGAGGGCGAGAGATATTGACGAAATTTACTTTTACTCTTTGCTGGTACTTAGGAGCAGAAAATCACAAGGCTCAAACAAATCCAAAGCATGGCTAAATTAGTATTCGAAATTATTTACAAAACATACCTTTCATAACCCAGCCCTTCCAGAATCAATGACAAACTCCCAAAATTTTATGGCTTCCATGTTTGTGATAAAATATGCCTGCAAAACTGTAACGGATTCATGTCTATCCTATAAAAATTAGAAACTAAAAAATGGGAAATTATCAAGAGAGTACTTGAACACCTGCATAGCGACATGCTGATGGTCCATAAACTTGAAATATCAATACAGGACTTGGACCAGCCAATTGTTTAAGAAGATTTGTCTACCTCCAATTTATAACACGATTCTTGAATATTTTGTGCCAAAATGTGGGGAACAGTTATTAGGAATGATATTTCAGGTTCTACACATTTTGGGTGTTGTAGGCAATCCAGGATTCGCCCTTGTACTTTTCCTAGGAAGGAAAAATAAACCTGCCTCTATATATATATATATATATGTGTGTGTGTGTGTGTGGTTGGTT